ATTACGATTTTCTCTTCAACAAAATTAAAGTAGAATTATAATAGTATAATCAACAAAAATTTAACGTATGTAGGTTGTTTCGAATAGTAATCAATATTATTTAAATTATTCATTTAAATTCTCAATTGTAATGTCAGTTATAATGTTTATTGTGCATTTACACACAATGACAGTTTGCATGTTATTTATATAGACTGTTGTGTGTTAACATTGACAAAAATAGGAGTTGCGAAGGTAAAGATAATGAAGTTTTCATTTATAGATGTAAATTTTAAGTAGGGAACACGAAAGTAACGTTGAATTCAAAAGACTTTGTCAAGCAATTCAAGTTAACGCTACTTTTACCAGAGACTCAAGAGATACCTTCCAAAACTTTATTTCAAGATTATATCCTAAATCGCATCATATCTTCTCAGTTGACTTTTCAACTTTTCCTACAATGATTATAAAATTAATTTCTTGTAAATAGGTGTGTGCAAAAAAAGTCGATAAAAACAGTGTTAACTATAAACCGAATCATTGAGTTCGAGAGACGCGAAAGTAGGATATCGTCACAAAGCGGATACGAAATTATTCGGAAAGAAGTCCGCGCCCAATAACATACAAAATATCTACCAATCCGATAAAAGCCGTAAGTTAGTTCAAAGTGGAATAAAAAAGAGCTGGTTAACCTTCGTTGTACCGGAGAAAGGAGCTGCTGCAGTTTATCGGTTACCATTGAATTGTGTTGATAAAAGGAAGGTTAGCGATATGTTAACGATAAGTTAGAGCATTGGAATGCGTTTGACAAATTGTTCGGGATTTTTTACACGTGCATCCAGCTCCATATAAATATACTACAAATCTCTTTGCATTACTTGTTATCGTGTTTTACATTACCGCTAATGTTTCATATCCTTTATGCGCTAATAAAGTGTTACACCTGCGGACATCGATAATCGCGATTGACTTGATAACAACAATTAATAAAAAGTTTACGCGATTATTAGGGGTATAATATCAAGAAGAAAGATTAAGAAAATATAAAGAAAGCATTGAATGATAGGATTCTAGAAGTACTTCGAAATATTACCTCCATGGTTTCTGCGATTTATCTGCAAATGGATAATTCTTGACTGGTGTACCGAGGCCATGAGTAACCCCAACATTGCACTTCTATTTCATTTTGTGATAAAAGTTCAATTTTCCATGTTTTCATTATCTTATATGCTAACTAAGAATCGAACTATCAATGAAGCGTTTATTTAGAATTAAATCAGCACATTCTTCTACACTTTTCATTTAGGGTAATAATATATTGGTAATAAATACCAATTAATAATCCTTTTAATTCTGAAAGTCAACAGTTAAAAGTTTCCCAAAAAACTGTTTAAAATCGATAGCAATTTCATTCACAATTCAACGAATTATTTGCTTAATATTACATAGAGTTCGGTAATTGGAAAATCTAATTGGCTTCCGGTATAATAAATCATTCATAAACGAATCATTCAATCAAAATATATGGACAAAACTTATTAATCAATTGATCAGAATTTGTCTTCTGCTCCCTTCGTAATATTACTCTTCTACATTAAAGGTCACCAATTTTAAGCAATTTTTGAGATAAAGAGTTCGATTTTTATAGATCAAATGTTTAACAATTTTGCATACACATGCTTGGCTATATTTCAAGAATTATATAATTCCTAAAGGATATCATTTTTCATGATTTCTGCAATATCTCAATAATGACTTGATAAATCTCTTTAAATAATACACACGTAAAAAAGAAAATGTGTTAAAGGAAAATTGCTTGGTTTCGAGGGTGACATATAATCTCATGTTAATAATTTCTTTGTAGGTTGCCGCCTTATCGAGCTTCCTTTATATTCATACTTATTATTACAATTCTGATAAACAATGATCCACGAATGCGACATAACAATTATCATTATTAACTTAAAAAGATAATTACTCATTGTATTAACTTGTAATTTGAGTTTTATAAATTATTTGATGAATTTTTAATATATTATTAAATATTGCATAGGGTGATCAAAATGCATGTTTTCTTAATCTCGAAAAATGAATAAAAATGGTAAGTGAACTGTCATTTGTTCCGGACTATGTATTGCACAACCGCCCTTGACTTTGCTTGACATTATCACAATTTACCCTACGCTTATACTGATCACAACCGGTTATGGCAAGTGAGGAACGATAAATCCAAGCGAACGGAATATAACATGTAGATCAAGTGTTCGTACACTTATATACATACATCACGTTAAATTTGATAACTCAGAGTGTCATGTTACAAACTTACTCTATCGCGGACTGTATCTATACCGTATACCGCATACGTCATATCGCACGTGCAGAAGATTCGAAGACAAATTTTAAACCGCGGCTCCATTATTTCATATCGCCGAAATCAGAAACTAGAAACGAGAAGTATCTGATTTGGTGGTTTTCCCGTTATGCAGTAGTAGTTATTTATTATTGACAGCTCCAAAAACACAGCAGATTCAAATTGCAAATTCCATCAATTTTGTACCAATACACTGCTATAATCGTTTATATACTTCTATACAATTAAATGATTTCCGAAGACTATATATTACCAAAAATTACTATGCCCTGGGCACAGTTTGAATATCTATCGTTCTTGTCAGTAGAAATAAAACAGTTAAATCTGCTGGTATGATTATCGATTGTCTATAAATTATTCTTGCCATTAAGTGAAATAAAAGTTGATTTAAAATGATCTAAGAACTTACCATTTTATTACTTCAGTATTCCTGAAAATTATAAAGATTAAATATAAAATATCTTCGTAACTAATGTGTGTTGTCATAAATGGAAAAATATGATTCAGTTTATTTTTGCTCTAGATTTATCAGAAAGTTTTATCAAAATCAAAGACCCCCCTCGCGACCTCTCTAATTATTATTAGTCCACTTATCATAAATAACATATTAATATACTTCTGTGCATGATAATCTTATCTCTTTTTAGCAATCTAAAATAAGTACGATATTTACCAAAATATTATGAATACATATATTTCTCGAAAAAATATTTTAACAATACATGTTAAATTTACGCGCGTATACAGATATAAATGATTGTGAAATCGTATGAAGATACGAATTTTGAAGAAAATGTGGAAAACGGAATGTTTTGAAAGAATACATGTACCCAGCTTATGTTTATGGTTAAAATACATACATATCATACAAAGTGCACACAGATATGTAAATAAATATATTCCCTCCAATATGTTCGAATAGAAACAAGTAGACTCGATGACATTATCACAATTAATGTGTTGCAGTATTACTGAAGCAGCTTTACTCGCCTTAACGATATCTTAATGATATTACCGTAAACTTGAAAAATGGCGTTGATACAAAAGTTCATATATCACGATTAGCGTTGTCTAATATCATATAACTTTATCGTAAGACAATTTATTATATGTCGGAAAGAATAATCAAAATATTGTAGAACCTAAAATAAATATCACACCCTGTATGTTTATATTTTGTAAATATATTTATAATATGCAGCATCCTGTATAATTACAGTGACCATACACCTTTTATTTAAGAGGACAGATCTTTATTTCACACATACACACACACACACTGCTGGGTTCTTCAGATTTACTCCTTTACTCTTTTTCCTGAAGACACTTTGTCCTTTATTTTGTGAACAGTTTGATTTTGTTCTGTATTATGTGAATAATTCTATTTTGTTCTATATTTTGTAAATAAATTTATTGTGTATTATTTTGTCCTTTATTTTGTAAACCATTTTATATTGTCCTTACTTTTAAAAATAATTTCATTCTGTCCTTTATTTTATGAATATAAATGACGGCGAACTATTCGATAAAGTTTCTTGTGTTAAAAGTTACGTCACCGGTAAAAAGATCAAAGAGTGGCAACAAAATGATGAATTCCCATATGAAAATGTACCTTTTAAAAACATTTAAAATATTCTTGAATATTGCTTATGTCTGCCTGAATCTAATCATCCTGCTGTACGAATATTTTCATGAATGAACAAAATATGCGGACTATCGAATTAACATTGAAACCCAATTAAAAGTCAGAAAATTCAAAGCATATACAAACTTCATTGCTTTTAAATATGTATAAGCCAAAATTATATTAAAACATGTCGTTTTACTTAACGTAGACAAGTGGTCATATGTATATTGAGACAATAACACACGCATATATGTATAATATACACAGGTTATATTGTATGTATATTGTATGTAGCAAATGCAAGTTTCGCATGAATTGTGCACAGCTTCATGAATTGTTTAATCACAAACCCGATTCATTAAGAACACATTCATTCTTATTGAAAGTATCGAACACAAAATATTTTTAAGCACGAAGGAAGATTCTAGATTCTGACCTTGAACTTCTCCCAAGAAGATACGATGCCCGTGCGCGCGCGCATACCGTACAAAACAGACAATGTGTCGTCGATGTCGGATTGATTAACCTGTTATGCAGTGTATGCCGGTGGGCCCTTGGTGGAACCGCATTCCGTCATTAGAAAGACAAAGAGAAACGCCGAGAAACAGAGAAGGTCTGCGGACGATGGGTCTTCCACTCCTTCACCTTTTACCCGGGCATGTACACTAATTCTATCCGCGGTATCTGTAGTTGTATAGCTGTGCCATGACAAGATCTTAACGGGCCCACGGGACGTGACGACAGGGCGTGTTTCGAGTTATAAAGCCGAATCACAGCGATCCATCGATATCACACGCAATGACCTGTTGTGTAACGAAGTGCCCTGTAATTAATGTCAACTCCGATATGACCAATATGTGCATGAGCATAAGTCAAAGCATCTGCGTTAATGCCAAAATCGTTTGATTGCACGTTGGTCACTGCGAACAAATAATGCACGTTAGCCTTTTGCAATTACATATAAAACCTTGTCGATCAAGGCTGCGAAAATTTCACTGTACAGAATGAAGCAACTAGCTTACTTTTTCAAACTAATTGTGGGTGTCGCAGAGCCCGAGGAAGGCGATTATGTTGTCCGATCCCCGCTAAAATTACCGCGACAGTGGTAATATATCCTTTTTCAGCATCTCTTTGAGTTATTATCTTTATTATTATCGCAACACAGCGAAATAAAAGAGATTAAAATGATAATATAGATCAACTGTAGATTAAAGTCGTTTCTTTTTATATGTAACATCTAATATTATTTAAATTTATATTACGAACAGTATAATAGCAGAGGCTAGGTGTCTGGAAAAAAATTTTAATGCAACAGTATGGATTGAAATGAAATTATTTCGTGTCATCGGAGAAGTTAACTAAAATTGTCATAATCATAAGTGTGTCAATATCTTTATTGTTACTGATTCGTGAATAAATTTTGTTATCTTAAGTTGATAAATATTGTCACATTTTGAAAAGTGGTATTATATGTAGACTGACATTGTGTAGAAATAATTTATTATGTATTATACCTGTCATGTCTATGTCACGCAATAAATTAACAACACAATAAAGTGCAGAGAGAATTAACAGCGTGGTACATTATATGGTGGAACCTCCACTTCTAATTAATTAGGGAACCACGAGTGTTCGAATAATAGAGCACTTATTTAGTTGAACTGCTGGATTACATCTTTATAGATTTGTGCAATAAATCGCGTGATATGTAAACCGCTTACGATCGACTTATTTACATAAAAAGAATGCAGATATCGTACGTTCAAATAATCGGGGTTGCGTCATATAAATAGTTTCAAAAATGGTGTAGAAAATTTCTTATTCTTTTTTGTGCTTTCAGGATTTTATATGTATATATTTAATTGTATATTTAAAATTTTCTGCCACATATACATATATTTGTCACAAACCAAATTGATTTATATTTGTACGTCTTTATATAACAAAATAATTTTAAATAGCTGTTAGGAAAAATAGAAAATAAAAAAATGTACCGATAGTACAGAGATCTAAATGAAAAGTGTACCTGAAAGTAACATTTTATAATTAATAATTAAATTAATAATCTTTCATTCTGTGTGATCTTTTGTTCTAAAAAAGAAAATTTATTCCCATTATAGTGATTCATTGTACGTATAATTGAGTCTCTAGTGTTTACATTTTAACACGTGATATGTGTATAGTCATGTTATTGTAATTATGTGTATTAGTCATTGTTATTGTAATTTAATAATCCATGCAATAATGTGTCAGTTCATGTGGAAAATTATCAGCACTCGCTCTGGATATCAATATCAGTCTATGCGAATTTCATTCCATATTATTATCTTCATCCTCATGATGTACATACATATACTATGTATGCAATGCTACTAGTAAAAGGTACAAAAAATGTTTAACACGACGTTAATGTGATTACATTTCTCTGAACGAATATTAATGATTTTTACGTAACTATGTCAATTCATTGGCAAAGTAGCATGAGTTTCTAAAAAAGCTACAATAAATTTTTACGTAATTAAATTCATAAAACTTGATGTTGATACATATGTGTATGTGTGTGTGTGTGTGTGTGTGTGTGTGTGTGCAAGTAACAAATTTAGAATTTCATCTAGCACGAATTCAAAATGAAATTCTAAACATCTTCTATTTGTCACGTAAACAGATAAATTTATCAATGAGAAGTCATGTCAAGTGATTCCATAAACATTAAAATTGTCAGTACGTGTAAGATCACGAAACAGCTTGCGTACGATGTAATATGAAACTTCGGAATCGTTTTTTATTGTCGTAATCCGACCCGATTGGCACCACATACTTCGTGTCTCTACTTTCTTACGCAAGATTCCGTTGTCACTAACTGATTCAAGGCTGATCGTCTGCAATTTATTCACGAGGTCCCCTAATCCATTTACTTTGAAGAAACGGAACATTGGAACACAATTAGAACGACTACCAGCGAAGGCTGTCCTATGCAAATCAGTTTTTTTCTCAAATTTCAAAGCAGTTGGAATTTAGTTTCTGATCAACGTACCTTAATCCTTGTCAGGATGGGCGCGTGTTGTTTTGATAATATCGTTAAGTACGTTACAATCTCTATTAACGCGCTTGTCATTTACCCTTCGAATGAATTTTAAATATTTCAATCGTTTTGAATCTTGTTACTACATTGTGCACTTAGGAATACGTTATCTTCATTAACTGCGCCCACTCTTCATCTCTATCACATTCAACAGTCGTTAACGGTAGACCGCCATAAAAGGCGGCAATCACCGATAACCTAACACAAAAATCATTTTATGACATTGAGAAGTTTATGCCTGTGTAAATTCTGTTTCAGGTAGTCATGATCACCAAAATGCGATGGCCGAACATACATTTTGCAATATTCTGTTTCATATTACACGTAAGTAGGATAAAATACACATTTATTTTCTTGGTGACTGAAGTATTATTGGGAACAATGGTACCATTTTAATACAAAACTTTTATTGAGAAAGTAGCTATGAGTAAACACATACGCATGTTAACAGTATTCATTCGTATGTTTATTAATACTGGATTACTATCAAGTATATTTAAAGATTTGTCCATGTTATTACAACTGGGTTTTTGTTATGAGAACGTAATGCTTGGTAATTATTAAATAAAATTGTATGTATACTACGTCAAGTGTGCTAAATATTAAACTTATACTTGTTACATTCAAGTTATAATATGTTATAATGGTAGTTTAGTTACTACCACTAGTTATAATATGACATAATACTTGTCATATTACAAGTTATAATATGATATAAAACTTGTTATATTACAAGTTACAATATGATTTAATACTTGTCATATTACAAATTATAATGTGATATAATACTTGTTACATTACAAGTTATACTATTATATTATATTAGTTATATTACAAATTATAATATGTTATTATACCAGTCATTTTATGGATAATAGATTTATTTATACAGCATGCTATAAATGATAAAATATCAAAGAAAAACCAGTAGTTTT